CTATGAAAGCCGTGAAATCTCGGTGAACTCATAAATTATATCTAAAATAATAAACAAATTATTCTAAAGGAAATCAATATGAGATGAAATAACTGTTTGGGAGACTAGATAATATGTTTAATTTGCATTTTTTGAAAAATATTTCCATTTTTCAGATTATAAGGCACAAAATTGATTGTAATTTTTTTAGCGACAGAAAATTATGAATTATCATGAAAATTGTGTTAAACAATGAATGGAAAAAAAACTTAATTAAACCTGCAAAAAAATCAAGAAACAAAATTTTCAAAAAACAATGACAATACTCTTTCCCACTTTTTGAAAAGAAGTTTTAAGTGTATTTTTTTATATATTGCTTTTACTTAATACTTTTTAATTACGACGGAACACAAAATTTTTCCACATGACCTAAAAAGTGTTTTTCAAAATCGGGAAAATCTGGAAAATCCGAAATTTTGATTGGTAATTTGCCTCTTGAGTTGATCCATCGTTTTTATTATTTTATTAACTTTAACATTTCCTAATTTTTAGGTGTTTTTGAGATAGTTTGGTGTCGAAGAACCAATATATTTTCATTCTCCATTCACAAATAAGAGGTGGATAGCCGTTCGTTATGTCATCCGTCAGTTTTTAAGCTTGTTATGATTTGCTTATCTGGCCATGAAATTCAGAAGTCTTACAATTGATCACCTTAGTTATATTCTATTTATAAATCAAGTGCAGATCTATTTCCTACCGTTAATAACTATTTTATCCCTTTGTTGATATGATTTCTGATCTTTAAGAGTGGAGAACAGTTTTTTGATTCTACAAAGTGCAAGTTGATAATATGAGCAAAATCCAAAAAGAAGTTAAGCACTTTCGAAAAGACGGGAACCTAATGAAAACAAGAAGATTATTGAAATTGGTACTGCAGGTCGTATTTCAATTTATATAACGTTATATGAATACCGCTCAAATAAATAGATAACGTCGAAGAAGTTGGAAAACTTGTCCCAGACAAAAATGAATTGACTTGGGAGTAATGCTTTTTATCATTTTATCGGATATTTTCCGTTCTATGGCCGAAATAGTGGTTAAAAGGAACGACATCCACTAAAACAAATGTTGACAGTGGAAACGTCGGATGGCGTTTCTTTTTGTTGCTTTCTTCCCCCGTTTTGCTGCCCCCTCTCGATACAAACGGCATGGCTCTAACGAAGTCGATCCTCCGAAAAGGCGATACATTACAAAAAACGCCATTCCCTTCCGGTTATTGAGCGCGGCACATAATTCTTTGTTTCGGTGTGACGGCGAGGCAAAAAGCCACACGACGATATACTGTCTGCCGGGGAACTCGGAACAACCCTATAAAACGGAGATCGGAGTCCCGTCCGATATTATAAATCGTCTTTTACTTGACGGTGACCTTCTACTTCGCTGACGAGATTAGGGTCCGCCTTTATTACACATATACAGTGTGACCGAGTTTATATACTTTGTTCCGGGATTATGAATGAACTGCCAAAAAACATTTCTCAATTTAGGGATCCACTGGAAAAAATTCTAATTCGTAGATTTAAATTTTTACTTCTTACTTTATATGCATTTTATATGCAGAATTGTGACCGCGCCTTCCACTATGTCACCCATATTTTCATAGAAGAGGAAACCACTTGGGAAATATTAACCTTACCTCTATGGAAATGCTGAGGCAATATTAGTAAACACCACGATATACAAGGAAAATGTGAGGAAATATGTAGGAGCTACACGAAATTTGGAAATATGAAATAATAAAATTTGGAAGCACTTATTATTCTACCGACAAAGTCGAAATCTGGAATTTGTAAAGTTGATTTTGATAAAACATAACTAAAGGCAATCATTTTAATAAACTTTGTTGGTGAAGGAAAAAAAAAGGTGTCCGAAACAATCATAGCTAATGCACCTACAATTTAGCAAACGATTTGCTTTACGCGTATGTTGTTTATTGCCCGAAATCAATAAATACCAATAAATCTAGATATATTATTATAGGTATGTTATTCGGTTAGTTACATACAACCCAAAATTTAAAACAGCGATTGAAACAAACTAATCTTGAACAGGCTTGTGAGCTTTAGATAACATTTTACATTATACTGTTAAAGCTTACTTCACTTTATCGCACATTCTAACTTTCAAAATTGGAAACATGGTGTGGTGCCAATGCAAGCAATACCTTATTATTGGCGCTTATTTCGATTTAGATGTAACTTAAGTAGGTTTCGATTTGATAAAACATACGAATATTTTCTCCAAGAATCAACTACACATTTGGAAATCCATTTTGTCAAAGGAGACAAGTTGTATTTTGTCTCTACGATGTAAACAAAAATAGCAATGGCCAACGCGATTTGACACTGGGACTAGATGTTGGTTCTCTGAAAAGACCACAACAGTAACCATAAAATTCCCATTGTCTTATCACGTTGACAAGCGAAAGCATAGGCAACAATTGTGTTCAACAAAAAATTTCGGACAAATAATAATGCATAATAATAATAATATATCTAAGCTATATATAAAACTTATTCAATATTGGCTGCGTGCACAAAGCTTAATATATCACTGCATCTAGCTTAACGTCGCAATAATGGCAGAATAAATATCTAAAATCCGTCCGGAACGTAAAAGCGGTCTCGAATAAATTTTTCAATAAAAAGGACGAGGCCCCTTTGGACGGACCGATCACGCAAAAAATAAAACACCCTTTGCCGAGGATGTTTCGAGCAGAGTATATCGCCTCTAATTTCCTAATCGATCGCTAAAAGTAAACGCTTAAATCTCATAAAAATGCCGCGCTCGTGTTACAAACGCATGGAAAAAGAACGGGGAGTAGGGGTTCCGTGACCCCCCACCTCCGGGATGGCAAGCGTGAGAGGAAATCTAAATCGCGCGGAATAAAAAGAAAAATTCGCTATCCTCTGCAATTCGTTTTGGGTGTAGACCTCATTTATTAGAAATATCCGTGATGCTCGAGAATGCCAGAAGAAGGTTGAGGTTGCTGAACCCTGATTCTAAGATAAAAACTTTTACCTAACCCCTGACGAAATACTTGTGTAATATATATATATATATATATATATATATATATATATATATATATATATATATATATATATATATATATATATATATATATATATATATATATATATATATTCCATTTTTTCATTTTAAATTTTGCGTTTTACAAGTTTCCTTACCTAATTATTTTTATTACAAGGTTTTTACAAAAATTATGTTCGGTGCCTAAAATCTACGAGAACCCTTTCAATCGCGTCCTCCCAACCAGTGCCTAAAGTGCCTGAAACGATCGAAATGGCTTACAAGAGTAGGTAAGAGGGACTTTTCGAACGTTTTACCGATGAATATTTGGGTATTTTAGAGTAGGGAGTAGAAGAGAGAGAAGTCAATTTTGAACCGGTTACAACGGCTGGACATATTCCTCTGACAGCTTAAAAAAGTTTTCGATTGTTCTCTAAAATAAATCTTCTATGTCTATGTCTCATCCTACTAAAAATAATCCAGAATCCAAATTTTCTAATCTAAATCAAGAAAAAGTGTCTTAAAAAATTTTTAGAAAAAATGTAATGTAAATAACACAAAGAAAGAAGCTTTTAGATAGACCTTCAATATTTGCTAAAATTCTTAATAGGTGACGCAACTTATAGGTATGTATATATGTCTATACGTAGAGTCACTTTTCATCTGTCTAGTGGATGCTTGACTGGTTGGGCTTCCCACCACTTTAAGGCTAATCATTTTCTAACTAGAAATAACAATGCGGTTGTCATTCTTTCAACTCATTCTAGTGTTGAGAAATGTTTGTATCATTGACTAAGGCTCGATTAAGAAGATGGAAAGATAAAGAAGTAAATAGCAAACAATACGTTATAAGCGACTGCCCACCACATTTTAATTAAAAACAATGGCGACTCGAAAAAAGAGCTATAAGAATAGTGGCATCGCGATTGAAATCAGGCTGTTAATAGATCGACCGCTATAAATTACCCCCAAAGTTGTTACCCCTTATTAAGATCGGAAACTACCTACTAACAAGGAGCCGCTCTAAAGACTAAGCCGTATACGCGTAGCATCTCGATCACCTTTCGGACCAGATAAAATCTAATTTATGATGGGCCATGTCATTATCTGATCAAAACTGAAAACCGGTCACGTGAAATTATAAGCTCCGGGGCAGATGTTCAGAATGGGGTGGTTGATAGTGGATGCGCTAAGATTAGCAAAACATAATTAAAATCGGGCAAATTTGAAATAACTATGAAAGAATGCTGGAACAGCGTCAGCTCCGCTGCGCTCTATTCGCTCGTGTATTCGCAAAATTAAATTTTTTCATGGAAAACGATCAGAGCAAATATATTCGGTATTTCGTAGGAATTTTTTCTCACGGAATGCTTGAAAATATTTCTTCAATGCCCATTGTATTTTATACGCGCCTATCTCTCGAGTATTTAAGTCTACCTGTTAATTAAAGAAATTTTAAACCAAACCAAAATACTAAAAAATCATCCAAATAAGGTTTAGAGAATGTTTTACAGATTTTGACGTTGCTTGTTGAATTGTTGACAATTATAGACATGTTACAACTAGGTACTTATACCCACCTGGTAAATACCTGCAATTTTCATAAGCTATTATATATAGTGCCTAGTTGAAAGCAATAAATATTTTGACTACATTCACAGTTGTAACCGATAAAATAGGATGCATTAAAAATCGAAATTAACGGGGAAAAAATTATTCGCAACACATTTTACAGCTGAAATAGCAACGCAGGGCCGTTGGCACTAATGTGATATGGAAAGAGACGATTTGGAACAACAACCACTGTGCATTTTTACAAATTTTAAGACATTCGGGGTACTTAAATTTACCCAATACATTGCGTACAATATCTGGATTGCAAAGCTTCAAAAACACTAAAAACACTAAAAGGCAACACTGACTCTTACCTGCTAGAAAATAACCGCTACGCCCACAATGGATGCGGAACCGTTCTCGAGTCCCTCGGAAGACTAGAAGAGTGCTGTAGAAAGGGCGGCAATTTGCCCGGTGGTGGGGGTGGCGGTAACACCGGACTCCTCGACCTGTCGGTAAGGTGCGAGGGGGTAGGAGTCGCGTAGATGTTTACCGACGACCTCTGATGTACACAGGACCTTCTTGCGTCCGGCATGGCAAACTGGAGCTTTTGCCAAAACTGACGATCGCCCCATTCAATAACGGTATTTGTTTTCAAGTAGAGCCTGAGATCGGGATCGAGATCCCTTTGAGGTATTTCTCCGGTAACTACGAATATCAATCTCCGCCTGCGGTCTTTTAGGACTTCGTGAAGCGCGGATTTGAATTCGAACCTGCACCACTCGTTGTGTAGAAAGTTCTTGGAGAGCACTATTATGGTCCGTCGCGACGATTCTACTGCTTCTATGATTGTGTCCGCCACGTAAGCTGATACATTGAAGTCTCTATAGTGAAGGCAGAGCTTGTAACAAGGTTCTCCCACCTCCAGACCGGGAGCTAAGACTTGACTGATGAAACCTTCATCTTTGACGCTGTAGCTGACGTAGGCGTCGAAAAGTCTTTCTTTGTCTTGTTGTTCTTCGAAAGCGGTCGTTTTATAGCACATCCTTAGTCCACATCTGGAGTAAATCCATACCCGTAGCTCTCTACGATAGTAAAATGCTCCACAGACTAACACAACGCTAGCTATGAAGACACACATTGTTCCCATTAACAGGGGTAGGTAATCGTTCATGACTTGTGTCTCTACTACTGCGTGGTTACTCTGAGGATAGGAATTAAAACATTTGGTGCTGTTAAAATCCGACATTTTAGGGCCGACCACGTTAGTTTGATTGTTCAAAATACAATCCACTCTGGCTCCATCAACAACCTTCCCGTAATTCGTCTTCAACCAGGATTTGAACTTACTGACGTATTTGCAGTCGCAGGTCCAGTGATTGTATGCCAACCTTATTTCTACCAAATAGGGATTTAAACTCAGCTGCCATACTTCGAATGAATACAGTCGATTTTCATCTAAACGGAGCACCTCCAACTGCTTAAGTTCAAGAAAAGTTCTATTATCAATAAAATGAATCATATTACTCTGCAAATACAACTCTCGCAAGGACTCTAAAGTGGCTAGTTCAAACCCTAATAGTTCTTTAATATGATTATTCTCCAAATGTAATACCGTAAGCCTCCGCAAGCCACTGAAGGTGTGGTTGTAAATGGCCGCTATGTTGGAATTGTTGGCAAAGAGAATTTTCAGATTCTTCCTACCAATAAATGAGTGACTAGATAGCTCGCCAAAGTTGTTACCATCTAAATATACTTCGGTGGCATCCATAGGTATACTGCTTGGCATTTCGGTGTATCCTACACCTGAACACTCTACGACATTTGCCGACCAAGACTGGTCGTGATAACATGTGCAATTAGTCGGGCATGTCATTTCGCAATCACATGCATCGAAATCACAACAATGACATAATGCAAAGCAATGTGTTTTATAAGTGCATAAAAACTGAGAGGATTCGGCTTCGATGAGCGGCAGATAGTTGTTGTCTCGATTATAAAGTAGCTTACAGTAGATACTCTCCAGGTCCATAACCCGCGGATGCTGCCGTAGATGGTCCAGCTTGTTTATTCTCTGCAGCCATTCCATGGTGCAGTCACAATGGAAGGGGTTACCTCCTATATAAAATTCTGGCAATGGTTTCTCTGGATTCACTGGGGTCAAACGTAATGCGTTCAAGTCCATACTGGCAATCTGATTAGCATACAAATCCACTCTGGTTAAATTGGTTTTCTTCAGGAAAGTGTGAGGTTCTACGACGGAAATAAGATTGTCGTTTAAAAACAAGAGTTCTATGCTGCTCGGCACTGCAGACGCACTGATTTTGGATATTTTGTTGAAACTCGCATCTAGTTGTTGAAGGCGTAATTCAAAGTCTAGTATATAACGGTTGCCTAATTCTCTGATATTATTCTGATGCAAATCCAACCATTGGAGTTGGCGAGGTATTAAAGCGTAGTCGAACCACTCTAGCTGGTTATTGGACACATTGAGCCACCGCAGGCTGGGGATGTCTGCGAACAACCCGTTGATTTCAGTCAAAAAATTGGAATCCAGTCGCAAAGCCTGCAGATTGGGGCTGTTGGAGAATGAGCCCTGTTCTATCCTTTGAATTTTGTTGCGAGCCAAATTTAAAATTTGCAACGCGGGAAGGTCGACAAAAGCTCGTTTGCTCACGTTTTGGATGCGGTTTCCGAGCATTCTCAAGCCGTACAAGTTGCTCATACCTCTAAATCCTGGTTCTTCGAGGTACGTAATCAAATTTTCTCCCAAGTCGACCGTGCGCAAAAGTCGCATGTCTTTAAGAGCAAGCGGCACCGCCTTCAGTTGGTTTCCATTTAAATTCAAATCCTGTAAACTAGAACAATTTCTGAACGACTCTGGATGAATTCCTTCCAGCATATTGTTATCGATAGCGAGCAGAGAGAGAACGTACAAGCCGTTTAACGAGTACTCGTCCAAGTACGTGATTTTGTTGTAGGAAATAATTAACGTGTGCAGGTTATTCATGGGCGCGAACGTATCGGCCGGAATCGTCTCGATCGAGTTGTGTTCTAAATTCAGAATTTGCAGCGTGTATAAATCGCGGAAGAACGACGGGTCCAATTTAGATATTCGATTATGCGATAAATTTAATAGCACCAAGCGAATGAGCCCTGAAAACGTGTCCGCGTTTATCCAAGAGCTCGTAAGGAGGTTTCGCGATAAATCTAAGGCTAATAATTGTTCGAGGTTCGCGAACAGGCCCGGAGCAAGCACACTGAGGGAATTGTTTTGGAGGTAAATTTCTTTGATGGTGTCTTTGCAGTCTTTGAACAGCTCGGAGGGCAGCGCTACGACTTTGTTGTTGGACAAGTCGAAAGTTTGTAGCGATTTTAAGCCAGACAATGCGCGATCTGCGACCATGGAGATCTCGTTGCTGTGCACGTAAAACTCGCGGAGTCTACGGAGCACGCTGAATCCGTTGGCAGGCAACAACACGAAATGATTAAATGAAGTGTCAAGTACCTGTATGTCCAGGCTGCACGGGTGCGTGAACGGTCTGGAGTTGTCCGGTTGAGGTTGTTCGTCGTCGGCTACGCTTATCAGAGGCTGGGGCAGCCCGGGTGCCTTCTCCCGGAACCCTAGGTCGCTGACATCCTGAAGCCGGTTCTCGCTCACATTGAGAAACGCCAAGTTTATCAAAGGACAGAATATGTTTTCGGGGAACGACCAGATGTTGTTGCAACTAAGATCTAGGCGCTCCAATTGCCTCACTTGCGTGAAACTTTCACGAGAGAAGTCAAGATTCATAGCCGGCCAGTTCGTGTTGTGAGTCTTCACCGTGAGATTTCGCAAGTCACGTAAGCCTAAGAGGGTGCCGGCCGGCCATCGCGCCAACTTGCAATGGACAAGCTCCAAAGCCCTAAGCTTAGTTAGATGTACGAAACTTTTCTCGTCTAAGCTGCTCCGCGACATGAGTTCGGGGTTGCACTCTATCCTAAGGGAAGTAGTGTGCTCCGATGGTATCACGCTGAAATTGGTGGTGTCGAATTCGCTGTTGATAGTCCTCAAATTGCACGTAAGGGCGACCTCGTCCTGAGCTCCGGACGAGGTCGTATGCTCCCGAACCCACCACTGGCAATCGTCCGGGGCGTCGTAGCGTAACGACGAAGAATTATCGCTCGCCAAGGCACCAGTCACCATAACCACCACAACCAACACTTGCGGAATAAGAGACATGTCGCCTAAAATTGTCAGAGACCACCGGGTTGCATATTTAACAGTCGCGTACGAGTAGTTTGCGCGCGCGCCTACACGACGTGTTCACCGCGACGTCAGTCGTCGGACTGACTAGGCGTCCCGCGAGCCTACAGCTATATAGTACATTCCACCCCTCGAAAAGCGCGCATACCGGGTTAAAACCGCACCAAAGACTTCGCCAACTTCCGATCGCCCGCGGTGTGATGGGCATTTAGGGCTCGTCGTTCGGGGATGCGGTATTATTTTCGCGCACAAACACCTACGTAAAAAGCGCGCGCGGCACTGAAGACGTAAACGCAAGGGTCGAAACTACTAAACGGTTCCGCGCGGTCCTCGTCACACGACGTCCGGCGATAAACAAGAATCCCGTGTCGGATGCTGGACGTCGCAGCCACACGTTTACGACGAACGGCGGCGGGTGTCCAAAACTTCACGAGTTTATAAGTTCCGAGGGCGTGCGAGTCGCTACGATCGAGCCCGAACGGACCGTAGCGGCCCCGCCTCGAAATGCGCCAAAGTCAAACCAATATAATATCCCGCCGGATCTATTCCTTCGTCGCCGGCGGAGAAAAAAAAAGCGGCTGCGGCCCGGTTATTTAAGATATTGGATTCGTTTAGTCGGACCGGACACAATTGACGGGTGTTGCGTGCACGTACGATTGTTTTCCGGGAGACGCGTTTTGCAAAACCAATCTGTTGCGTGATCGCAGATTCCCGACTTATAAAGGTTATTCGGGTACGTTCCCGTGGGTCAGTTCGAGTCGCGATAGCTCGTAAGCGTTTGGGATGGGTTTACTCAAAGTAATCCTAAGTTTCATAGAGACCCGAACACCACTCTAAACAACAAACAAAACAACGAGCCGAACCCTAAGCGGAAAACTAAGAAGATTCAAAAATGCTGAAAGTTCAGCATACGCTGCAGGCCGTTCCCAACACGAGCTAGTCTATTCGGTGACGTCAAGGCAAATAATATTAATAATAATGTTTACTAGCCATACAAGTTTTAAAAAATAACATAATTTTATATGACAAAGTGTATTAAAAAAATAATTTAGAAAAGAAAAGAGAAAAAAGAAGAAAGTTAATGCCTAACACAAAAATGCATTAACGCGAAAAGGAGATAGGATCAACGTCAGCAAAGCAAAAAGAAATGATAGCAACTAGTTACACTTTATATAACCAAGCACAACAAATGAGGACTATTAAATTTTGATATTAAGATTTTCTAATACCTAAGACGATCAGAACACAAACTGATAATTTTTAACAGTATGTTTAAAACAACAAATATTTAGAACTTTAAAATCAGTTAATTAGTTACGGAGGCGATGAAATTTATATGTATACTAACGTTTTGAGAATTTAGTATGATGAGGAGGAGGAGAGATACCCTCGAAATCGAAGATAAAGCACGTCAGTGCTAAATTTAATTTTATTAAAAAGGGGGATTCTGAGTCAAAAAAATGGACACGATCAAATAAATCTAATTTCCTTTTATTTTTTATAGTAAACCCCCGCTCCTTCTCCCGTTCGTAGGACATTGGTATTTACGAATGCCCTAAACAAACTTGCCATTCGAAATTTTAAACAATGTATTCCTTTCGAAGATTTCCAATAAATATGGACCGTGAAATAATGCTCATCTGCTTTTCTACCGGAAAGCTATTAAAAATTGGAAATTCTGGACACAGATATATTTGACATACGTGAAAGCTGAAATTGTCATGTCAGTTATGAAGGAATTAGAATTTACAACACTTGCGTATTATAAAATAATTAATAAAAATATTTGATGATTGTATAAAATCTTTGGAAATATAGAAGGATCCGCGATTTTTGTCAATTCTATTGAATCTCATTGCTCAATTTTAGCATGTTGACTAGTTTTTATCAGTATGTGTTTACTAGAAGATTTCGTTTAGAAACCGACCATAAAGCACTTATTTGAATCATAAAAAAGCCATTACATCTTTGTAACCCAAAACCTCAAAGAATGCTAATGCAGGTAAAAACTACGACTTTGAACTTATCAAACCTGGCAAAAAACTGATACACAGTGATGCTCTTAGTCGAGCGTATAATCTGAAAATAAATTTCAATGAAAACATGGATTTCGACATAGAACCTGAAATCTGTGCTGTATAACTTACATTATATATCACCCAAAGTAAAAAATAACAAATACATAAATTAACAAGCGAAAATGGATTGCCAAAAAGCATAAAAGACTGTCCGAAAAATGTCAAATTTTATTTCAAGTTCAAAGCAGAATTATTTTGTATATAAAATTTAACTTTTAAGGGATATAAACTCGTAGTTCTCAGGCAAGGACTCTTGCAAAAACTTCATTTTGGAGGCTATAAGAAAACATTAGACAATTCAAATTTGTTATTTTTCTGGCCAGGTATGCGAAACTAGAAAACAGGATATCGTAACATCTTGTCAAATATATCGGAGATCACAGTGTACACTCACGACATTCCCAGATTTCCTTGGCAAAAGGTAGCTGCAGATCTTTTTCAGTTTCAATCACAAATTTATATTTTAATTGTGGACTACTACTCTAAATTTGGAAATTTGGTAAATAAATTTAAAACTACCTTTGCACATTTTGACATTCCAAAAATTTTAATGACTTTTAATGGTTTAAATTTCTGTAACTTGTAATTTAATAATTTTGTTAGAAACTGGGGATTTAAGCACATAACTTCTTCTCCTTTGTAAACTCAGTCAGCGAACTGTTAAAACTGGCAAAAATATCTTAAAGAAATATTTTATGGACAAAAAAGGTCCATATTTAACCCTTTTTTTTTTAACTCACCTTTGGATTGGGAAAAGTCCCCTGCAAACGTACTCATGAACAGAAACTTAAGATATTGAGATAAACAATAAGTTTGCAACAAAAATTCATCAGAAAGAAACTTATACCAATCAGAAACAGTGTTTCGATAAAAACAAAAGATCTTTACCAACTTTAAAAGTGAAAGTGAAATTCAAATTTAGTCAAATATAGCAAGACAAAAGGGTCAAATTTTGTAAAAATCACCTTTTCGTTCATGTTTAGTTAAATTAGAAAATGGTTCTATTCTCAAGTATAGGTCACATGACTAACCTTAACTTAACCTTTTGTATTTCTATTGGCAACATTGATTTTAGACAGTTGGTATCTCGAGCACGTGTTTTGTACCCCACCAGAAAATAAAAGAAATCCAGTCTCCCTGACACTGCTCACATATTACATATTTTTATAAATTTTAATGGATTTGATAAAAATATGATGGAAATATTGATGATGTTGATATAAGGAATTGGGTGAGATGTCAGAGAAACTTTAGAGATTTTGCAGTTTATTCATCAAAATTCCAAGGTCTAAGCGGTCGAAGGTCTTGGAAAAATATGTAAAAATGATATCAACCCGGGAATTTGCAATAGTAGACTCGGAAATAAATTCCACAATTCATAACGCCAAGATCTATCAAAAGAGACAAAAATATGCAGGCGCTTGTTTTCAATAAAACCCATCCAATTTTCTCGGATGGAGTTACATAGCAAACATCAATTCAATTTAAAAATACCAAATAAGGAAACTGTCATTACAAGTGAGACACTTAAAATTATGTCTTTGTATGTTATCCATGTTTGTAATTCATTCGTCAATGACTTTAATTTTAATATTGTCGGATTCTAAATCCAACTTTATTTAAGGTACTTAATTTAATTATTTCATTTATTGGTAATAAAATAGTTTTGTATTTGTTTAAAAAGTAAAGTAAAGTGGATTATATTACCTCTTCTTATTCCTAATATTATAGCTTTGCAAAATGTTTGCCTTCAGACTTAAAGTTAGTTTTCATATATCTAAAACATTCTTTCTCTGCCATATTAACTGTTCATCAGACATCATAATTAGTTGTCTTCTATGTATAGGATTCCAAACAACTCATGTTCTTACGAATTATATGGAAAAAAATAATATGTTTTAAAGATAACGGAACGGACACAGGCTCGAAGAACAACTGAGATGAAAACATTAATATCAATAGTGATAGAGGAGACCAATTAAGAAACGAATAAATCCGGGAAATATGTGTCATCCAAGATATAGTAACGTGACGAAGAGACGGAATTGAAATCAACATATAACCAGAATGGAGGAACAGAGACTAGCAAAGATCACAACCGGCGGAAAACGTGAAGGGAAAAGATCACAAGGAAGACCCCAAAAAAGATGACAAGAAAGCAGGTCGTCAGAATCACAAATAAGGAAATACAGATCTTGGACCTAACTTAAGAAAAAGAAGTCCTAAGCGATAACCTACCTACCTGCATCACAACATAAGGTATTATCACACTTCTGACGGTTACCCCCTTCAACAATAAAGATATGAAGATATTAAAACATTTCTGGCGTTCTTAGTTATGTGTGAGTTCTTTATCGACAATCTAAGTAACGTTTCTGGTGCTAAGGACTTGGTAACATTTAATGGCAGATTCCAACTTATTCAGAAATATCCTTTTTAACGACGTTACAAAAGTTCTTTATTTGACAAGGTATGTTTGCTATTGTAAGGAATCCGTAATGCAGTATCGTCGGGTCTCCCGGTAAGTTAAATAAATTTAAGAAATTGGATGTATTGTAAACGACAAAATGGCTATTCGTCACACAAATAAAATTTAAGAGGCTTAAAGGCTTAACGCTGCTTCATGGAGTTTTCCAAATGAAATATTCAATGGCTCTTCTTGAACATTTCATAAAAATATTAATAAGCACCCGATTCGGAAAAGGGAAGAAAAAATGAGCAACCAACTGCATTTAACGTAGGTAGTTATTCTGTGTATTATATATTATGTTTTATTTTCTTGCAACATTCATTGGTGAAATTTAGTCTAGTTAGAAGTACAACTTGGGTGATTCGTATGTTCGTATTCGTAAATTCCCGATTGTACCGAAATAATCAGTTGGTGCATAGGAAATATGTTTCGACGTTTGTCAATTCTGACGGTCATGTCAGTGAATGCTTGTTTTGCGAAAATGTACCCAAAAACTTAACAGTCGTAGGAAAAGTATAGTATGCAAAACGTTCTATAAACTTTTTAAGTCACTCGTTCATTAAACACTCGCTCCGCTCGTGTCAAATAAACTCGTGAGTCAAATGCCGTTTACCGCACTTGTTGCATAATATACTATTTCACGTTAATATTATTACCAAAATTGTTCTTGATTTAACAATCCTTATTATAGAATGTAAAGTTAAAACCCAAGATGAAGCGGAACTTGGAGAAGAAAAGCTTGTTGTTTACAAAAAAAATGTTGTTATTCGTTATTGGTAACATATCTTCTTTTTATTCTAATCTGAAACTCTAAATTACATGAAATAAGAAAATAAATAACTGAT